GGTCCTCTACTGGCCAAAAGGCCCTCTACTGGCCATAGCAGATGCTATGCTAAAATCCTTGGAGGGTTTTTTCAGGACAAAAAAAGCAATAAATAAATGCTTCCATAACCTCATGGGAAGGAAGGAAGGAAGGAAGGAAGGGTTTTCAAGTTGCCAGTTGTCCTAAAGTATTGCATGAAATGAACAAGGCAGCCAGCATCTGGTACTCTCCAAATGTGTGTTGGCTAGCGATAATAGGAGCTGTAGAATAAGACATTTAGGACTTGCTGGGTGGGGAAGGCTGACATAAAGATCTGGGAACACAGGACCTGAAGGCCTTAACTTTTCTGCAGACTCCTAAACTGTGTCTCTGGACATCCCAAAATTAATATTATAAACTAATAAAACTCTAAAATTCTTGTAATACAGCCTAATCTCATAAGATTTCAGGGAAGAATTTCAAGTTCATAAAATCATAGAGTAGAAGGGACCTTAGAGGACTTGTAATCCCACTTCTGTTTGAAGACTTACAATGAAGGAGAATCTCATGGGGCAAACCAGTTCACTGGCTGTCAGCTCATATATGGTGGAAGTTCCTAGCTGGAATCTACTTTCTGTAGTTTCAACCATTCATTCTAGTCCTGCCTTCTGGGACAACAGAGAATAAATCAGTCCCCTCTTTTGTTGTGACAACCTTCTAGAGCAGTGTTTCTCAACCTCAGCAACTTTAAAATAGGTGGACTTCAACTCCCAGAATTCCCCAGCCAGCCATGTTGAATAATTGAAAACTATTATCACTCCTATTGGTCACCTCTTCTGTAAATTAAACATATCCAGATCATTCATTCATTCATTCCTTCATTTGATTTATGTAGTTGCCCATCTCACATAAATGGCTCTAATTGTTCCTCATAAGGCTTGATTCTCCCCCATGGTCCAACTGACTTTCATTTTTCCTTCCCAGACATAGAACACGATATTTCTTCCTGTTCAGTTCCATCCATGACTCCATCCCTGATTCCATGTTGCCTGTTCTAACAACAGCTGTCTGTGGTCCCAAGGTGAACACAGAGCTAATATACCAAACAATAATCGCAACAGAGACTTTGTCCTGGGTAGGAACATGGTTCCAGAACTTTGCATCTATATACATAGGGATGTGCTTCAACACTAAAATAAATTCCAGTCTTGTTTCAACACTTTGGAACATAGATCAGTTTGGTATTGGGCCCCTTTGGAAGATACCCACAGTTTCTTGGTCCAAATCAGAACTTTGCTAGAAAAGTCAAAGAGACATGGCTCCTGTTGACCATAATGGGGAATGAGTGAACAATTTTAACCCCTGTATTCTCTCCATAAAGTAATTCTATACATTTTGTGTAGATGGAAAGAAATCTACCCTCCTGATGTTAAAGAATGGATTCAAGATAGGTGTTCTTTATCAACTTCTTTACATTCTAAAAAGGATAAGATGGAATTTCTATATAGTCTAGATCAGTGTTTCTCAACCTTGGCAGCTTGAAGAGGTGTGGATTCAACC